AACCTCTCTTCCGGCGACGTGAATCGGAGAAGCGAGAGGAGACGGAGGAACGGATAAAACGACGTCGCGAGGAGAAGCTCCTGATTTATTATTATGCATCGGAATCAACCGGTCCAGATCTCTCTCCCTCGTTTCCATCTCTCTCTCCCCAAATCTCAAATTCTCCGTACCGATCTCTGAATAATCTCTTCTCTCTCTCTCTCAACAGAAGAAAATAGTTCTCTCTCTGAATCGCTTTGTCGATCTCCGATGTGTCTTCTTCTCCGGCAACGACGAACTGATTTCGCCAAGTCTCTAAAGCATGCAATTTTGCTGTTATTCACTCGTCGCTACATTAATGGGCTTTTGAAGAAGGTCGATATTGGGCCTCATAATAAAGCCCAATAATCAACGTGGCAGACCAATCCGACGTGGCGTATCCTGAACCGTCGATACTATAGATGATACAACAATTCGGATGAGATGATGATGGCACGTTGAAAGAAGTTTTTCTAGGGGCAAATATGGAATTTCCCGAAAAATATTCAAATTCTTCAAACCAATTTAAAAACGAGTCTTCGTGTTGACAAAAATATACAATTAGAATTCGTGCTGAGTAGTGTGACGGAGAGATGTGGCGGTGCGTGCCTCGTCGTCTTCGAGTTTTAAAATCTCTCTCCTAGACTATTTAGATTAGATACACAACTAATGTGTTATTAATAAGATTTAAAAGGTTGGGTTGAGGTGCGAAAGAAAGAGAAATTTTATTGGTCGAATCAATTAGAAACTAAGTGATTACATAATAGGGAAAAGACAAGTTAAACACGCCATCGCTAACGATACAAAGACGGGACGTCATGTTCGGTTAGTTTTCACTATTAGGTAATTCACTTAAGCTTCGATAATTAATCCGACAAATTAAAATCTCTCTCCTAAAAACTTGGGATCGTGGAGATTGTGGATGTGTATTGTGTAAGTTATGCCTACATACTACCTAAAGCCTAGACACATTTCATACGGCACCTATCCTATACATACATCTATACAACAAGCATATAGTAAAACAAAAGAGACATGATTCTACAATTGACATTAAGAGTAAAAGAAGTGACCTCAAAAGCCAACGGTGCGGCAAGAGTGAGCCAACGAATTTGCTACTTGAGGTGAGTTCACTGTAGAATGATATTTTTCTTTGTCAGAATGATATTGTTATGAATCTGTAATCATTAAAGAAAGAACAATAAAACAAGAGTACGGAGTTTGAGAAGAGAAGTATCACCTCTGCTCCACAAGTGTTGGCTTTGTTCTGTTTGTGACTCTGCTTTTTTTCTTGAATGTGCTGCTTTAACAAAACAAAACCCATGTGTGACTCGTCAATTAAATACTCGCAGCCACAAATCTAAAACCATGAGAGATTGAGTTAAAGC